GTGGATATATAAGAGAATACAAGTTCAGCCTGGTAGAACAGAAGGAGGGAGCCAAGTCTTTGGTCTTGTAGATCTGGGTCCAAATCTTGGCTTTGCTCATGAGCTGTCATCTCCACCATTATCATCTGATCTCTCTAATCTGCAAGAGAAAATATTTTGCAAAATTGTTTTGAAATTAGTAATTATGTTTATAAACATATAGAGCAGTACTTGACATGCAATTAGTGATTGATAGATTATAGTTGTTATTTGGTTGGGAAAATAAGACTAATGTGTATGTCATACTTATATCTTGTAAACTAGAAGATACTCTAAAATTGCTATGAGATTTCAGAGAAGATTCTCCCATCAGGGGGAATATAGCTTCAATGAAGAAATGAAACTTGAAGATGTGTTCAAAGGATGGATTTCAGGTAATTTCTGTAGATTGAAGCCAGGTTGGAAGGATGGATTTCAGTTATGTTTCTGGACATGGACAGCAGTAGAGTGTCTTTTTTTTTTGAGACAGAGTCTCGCTCCGTCGCCCAGGCTGGAGTGCAGTGGCGCCATCTCCGCTCACTGCAAGCTCCGCCTCCCGGATTCGCGCCATTCTCCTGCCTCAGCCTCCCCAGTAGCTGCGACTACAGGCGCCCGCCACCGCGCCCGGCTAATTTTTTGTATTTTTAGTAGAGATGAGGTTTCACCGGGTTAGCCAGGATGGTCTCGATCTCCTGACTTCGTGATCCGCCCGCCTCGGCCTCCCAAAGTGCTGGGGTTACAGGCGTGAGCCACCGCGACCGGCCAGTAGAGTATCTTAAACAACAAAAACCTAGAAATCAGATAAGAAAACACTGCATTTTCTCTTGACTGTTGGCATTTGTGAAAATAATTAATAGTGTACTTTATTTTTAACAAGGTATCAGTGGACTTGAATTTAATGCATAAACATAGCTTTTTCATGTAGATATTATACTTCTCACAGAATTTTTAAGACTCTTATGTCCAGTTAAAATTCCATTCACATTTACAAAATTCATACTTATGTATAAAATCAAAGTAGCTATTAAATTTTCCTTATACTTTTGAAGATCTAATCGTTGAGTGATTTTTTTCTTGTAAGTAAATTTGAACAAATAATTTACAGTTATGACCATATGAAGAGAAAAATAGGTAGAAAAAACAACAGGTTTTATGTTAGATGAGTTTTAGTGAAAAATTGAGACTTTTAGGCTAGTGCTATAAATCACTAGTTAGTTCTAAGAAAAATAAATGTAGCCCATTAAGATGTGCACTGATGGATTGGATTGAAAGGTGCTACCTGAGATACTGTTTTTTAGAGCAGGCTCTTTTGGCCTTTTTCAGGATATGACATTTTTGATAATTTTCTGGGACATACCTACATAGGGAATATTTCCAAATCTCTCTTCCGTCTCCTATTAGTCAACTGTTTATTGCTTCTAGTTATTTTATTGTTTATGTTAACTATCAAAAATAGCATCACTGATTTTAAATGTCACTTTAATCATCAATTAATTATTTAGCACCATCTATATTTTAAGCATAATGCTTAAAGATGGCCCTATAATGGTGAGTAAGACAGAAATGGGCTGACTCTCTTGGAGCTTATAATGATGTTGCATATATATATATATATATGTATGTGTGTGTGTGTGTGTATATGTATATATGAAATTATAAAATTATACTGGACTGTGATACAGTCTATTGGTAGAGGATAGCCTAGAGTATTGTAGGAGTGCAGAGCAGATCCTCCTACTCCATTTAAAGAGCGTTAGAGAGCTTTTTAAAACACACAGTCCTTGTCCCCAGAAAGTTTTATTCTAATAGGTCTGGACAAAGGAAATATTTTTTTTTGGTTATCCTTACTATTTTTAACTCCCCAAATGATTCAGCCAAATTTGGGGAACATTGATCATGAGTGGTTAAAATGGACAAAATCATGACATGGTCTAAATGAGTTAACTAGGGATGGAATAGATCAATGTTTTTCAGATGATTTTCTTCTCATGGACCAAAGGTCAGTCTTTATATTTATCCCTGTTTGGTTGTAAATTCTGGTCCTTAGGTTATAAAAGTTAACTGCCTTACTGGTGGGTGGGAGAACCTGGCTTATCAGTGGTACACATGTAAAGGACCTGGAATTATTGTTTACTATAAACCCAATGAAAGTCAGAGGGGAACCTTAACTGCCACAGGAGCTACTAAAATTGTAGGATGCATTTCTGTAAGTTTAGTATCAGAAAGAAGGAGGTAATAGTCCTCTGTACTCTGCCCTTGTTGGGGCGCATCTAGACTCATGTGGATAGTCTCTAGGATCACAGGTGAGGGGATGCTGACACTTGGGGTGTATGAAGGATGTTGAACTCCTGGTAAATATCCACATGGGGAAGGACTGGAGAGAAATCAGTTTGCTCATCTCAGAAAAAGAAAACTTAGTCTATATAGTTCCAGAAGAAAGAACTGGGAACAGACAGGGAGAGTTAGTTGGGAAGCCAACATCATTTATTCATTGACTCATTTATTTATTTAACAAATATTTATTTAGCATCTATTGCACTTCATTCTAGTAGATGCCAGGGATATAATGGTAAACAAGATGGATTCAATCTCTGACTTCATGGAGCTTAAAATTTTTTGGAAGACTCAAGACAATTAGGCAAGTAGATAGAAGAAAATGGGATAAGTACTGGGAAAGATAAGGTACTATTTCACCTCCATATAAAACACATTTCTAGTATTAGTGCTGTCAGAATGATGGTAAATGGTAAATACATTGGCCTTGGAAGTATTCAAGAAGAGGCTGTTGGGGATATTGTAGAAGTTGTTCTAGGATTTTGGCATTAAAAGTCAAACAGGATTCCAACTACCATTAAAATCCTGTTTGACTTTTAATGCCAGTGTCATATATGTCTTGTAACAGATTCAGACTCCTTCCTTCTTCTTGTCCTTTCCTTCCTTCCATTCTCTTCAAATCAGTTACAATTCTTTGAGTCTTCAGGATGAAATGACTGCCTTTGTGATTTTCACAGACGTTTTTGCGTAAGGAATAGGACAAATTTTTAGAACTGAAGTCATTCTTAGTTATTATGTTTTTATCTGGGCTATCAGATAATTGAGGATAGATATTAGCGTTCACATAAATACACTGCCATCTGATTTATAGCTTCAGTTCCCATTCCTCTTGATGGCTGGTCCACACAGGCAGGGACTCAGTGACATTCATAGGAGTCTGTTTTTGTGGGAATGCACAGGTAGAAGGAATGAATAGAATGTCAGAGTCATTTGTAATTTTTACATTATCAAATTTTTATGTGCTCTAAATAAGACCATTTTGACCATTGTATTCAAATTCTTAACATGTCTTGACCAATTAGAAAAGCCAACCTTTCCCTCACAGCCCTTTTATTTACATCTTATGTTGTAATATTCTCAGAACTATTGGAGCCTTTCAGATTCAATGTTACAGGCTGAAGTTGGACATTGTGGAAGTTTGGGTTTGCTTTCTCTTGACCCAATGTGACTTCCTGTTTCTAATAAATCAGTTTTTAGAGACTCTTAAAAGGAATTTCTTGCATGCCTAGTAGCTCTTGTAAAACCACATTTTAGTAAACCAGTGTGAATGAAGGATATATTAAAAAAAATCAAAGACCTGTATTTCTTGACCAAATCAGCATTTTGTTTTATGGAAATTGAATCCCACAGAAAAATCTGTTGATTTAGGAAGTGTCTGCTTCCAGTAACTAGATAAACTAGGAACCAAAAGTTTCATTTTGATTAAGTCAGTCATCCTAGTTCAACTCCTGTGGTGGAGTTGATGCATGCTAGTGAGTCTGGTTAATACTTCTTCTTCTTTTTTTTTTTTTTAAACCACCAGGTTGCAATTTGGACATCTCCCTTTAAATGAATTCATATACATGTAATTAATTAACATGCATTCTCACAATATTCTGGAGAAAAACCTGGGTATTCGCATCACGTTAACTGATGGAGAAATGAACGTTAGTGAGTCTGGTATTAACAGATCTTTCTCTTTGAGCAAGAGATTCATGTCTCCTGGCTCTCAGTTCAGAGATTCAGCTTCTCTGTCTTGAAATTGTCTTACAAATTGTCTTCTCGTAAATATTTTAATAGAGATTAAACATGTTGTTGTGGCTACAAAGGCAGTTTATTCATTTGACTTATATTTGTTGAGCACTTGTAGTGTGTCGGACACTCTTCTAGAAGCAGAGAATATGTGAAGACACAAGGTTCTTGATTTTATTTGTCCATTGAATGGAAACTGCCAGAAGTCGTACTAGGTACTTTAAAAACACTAAGTCATTTAATCTTTCTAACAATGCAGTGAGGTAGATATTTTTATCCTTATTGTTTAGGTATAAAGAAGGAGGCCTGAAGTCACCTAGCTAGGAAGTGGCCAAGCCAGAGATTGAATGCAGGCCAGGAAGGCATAACCACCTACTCTATGGGCACTCCAGAAGCCTGATCTCATAAGCTTACATATTCCCTGTAAAACATACATACATGCAGGAAAAAAAAAAAAAGACAGGAAAATAAAAACTGTGGGTAATCTGACCACTCTTAATATTTTGCTGTGTTCCATTTCTTATATATGTATGTGTAGAAGTGCGTGTGTGTGTGTTTAAGCATACATGTATCTTATTGATTGGTTACCACTACATTCACAACACACTGTAAACATTTTGCAGGCCAGTGCATTTTGTTTAATGTAGTTTTAAACAGCTCCACAGTGTTCCATGTCATGAGTTATCTAACTAGTTTCCTACTACTTAACAATGTTTCCTATGTTTCAATTTCATAAACCAGGCTTTAATTAATATCTCTACAACCAAATCTTTTTACAGACCCATGATTATTAAAAAATTACTTAGTGAAGAAAGGTATTAAAACTTTTGGTAAATATTTATGCAATATCCATGTGCAGTCTACGATTTATGAATATGACAAGGATGTTAACAATGTAAACATGCTTTTCTTTCTAGGTTAGTGGATGACAGATGTGTGGTGCACCCAGAGGCCGGGGACCTTGCCAACCCTCCCAAGAAGTTCAGAGGTAAGAAATACATATATATATTTTTTATTGTATGAGCTAAGAGGGAGGATTATTTTTGTGTCTCAAAGTAAGTAATGTTAAAACTTTATTCAATGTGAAACTTTCAGATATAAATATGTTCACTGAAAATTCTTTCAACAATTTTTCCATTGTTTTTCTTTTACATATTGAAGGATTTGCAATGAAAGAATAGTTTTAATTTTTGTTTTGCCAGACAATGGTCTGTCTGTTAAAAGGAAATCTTGGTAATTAACTGTGAAAGGCTACTTGTCAAGCCAGTAAATGCAGCTGAACAGTATTTATTTATATACTTCTCTGACAATTATAAATGTTATAGTGTTTCATTGTTAGCTTTTTAATTTATCTTTGTAAACTCAGGAGTGTGGCAATGATGTGTTAGCTTACTTTTTAAAATAGCAGTTTTGATGGTGTGTAATAACTGACAATTGTCTTAGAACCCCTAAGTATAATTTTAGAAATAGCTTGATAATTTCCTCAAATGAGAAACTGATCCTAGTAAGAGATTGATTATAACTCAACTCTTACAAAAGGATTAATGGAATCTATAATCACAGAAAGCTAAAACTAGTCAATAAAAGCTTGCCCAAATCAATTTCATAATTGATACATACTTATAATAATAAAAATAATTTTAAAACAGCATTTATTTTGAACAATGTATAACCATTCATTCTCATAATGGTGAAAAACGGCCTTAATAAAGGATTAAAAACTGGAGAGAGACGGAGGGATTCTCAGAGCCACCAGCCCAAGTGAAGATTGCTGCTTACTGCAATGGAAAAGGGAGACAATTAGCATTGGGTTAATGTTTACCATGTTTTACTCTCTGGGATAGGCATTTTATTTACACTATCTCTTATGGGAATATTTTATTTATTTCATTTTCTCTAGACTGAGATCCTTGCAGAGAAACTGACGTGCACAAAAAATGTCCTTTGAGTTAAATTGGTCACTTTATCCAGATTTCTCCCCAAGTAGAGAAATTTGCGTAAGACAGAATGTGGAAGACAAACTGCCCATTGGAAACATCTGCAAAACCACTCAGTAGGGATACTCTGCTAACCCTGGGCAAGTGAGGTCTTCCTACAGTAAACAGTTTCCACTGAGGATGGACTTAGAATGAAGCTACCTTGAGGGTAACATGTAGGAACAACCTGCCAGAGACAATGCAGGAAGTGTGTGTGAAATGACCCAAAAGATAAGAGGGTAGAGAAACCCTAATGGAAGGACAGATAGTGTGAATAAAGGTAGATTCGGAAAAGAATGAGCTAGCACATTGTGTAAAGATGAGGAGAGAATTAGGGCTCTGGAGGAGAGATCTGAGGAAACTACCCAGAATGTAGCACAGAGAGATACAAAGAAGGAAAATTTGGATGAGTCATGAAAAGCTTGGAGGATAGGCTGAGAAGTTCCCACAGTATCTAACTGAATTCTAGAAGGAAAGACTAGGGAGACTGGGATAGAGGCCATATGTGAAGGAATGTGGGTGAGAACTTGCTAAACTGAGGAAAAACACTCTACCCCAGGTAGAAGAGGCACATTGAGTTCAGAGCAGTGATGGTAAATACAACCACATCTACCGCTGGACACTCTTTGGTGAACTGTAGGGTATTAAAGACAAAGAAAAATTCTAAAAGCAAACTGGGACAACAAATCTGTATTTGTAGCAGGAAAAAGCATGAGGTTCAGGTTTTGACTGTACTGCTTGCTGGCTGTGTCATCTTAAGTAGGTCACTTGCCTGCTTTGAGCCTCAGAGGACCTCTGTCATTGGCTAATGGGAGTAGAAGTGGTTAATAACAAGAACAATGACTACCACACAAGGTTTTGTGAGCCTTGAAATATTTCCAGAGAATAAATATAAAAGCATTTTAAGTCATTATACAAATGGGCCGGGCACGGTGGCTCACACCTGTAATCTCAGCACTTTGGGAGGCCGAGGCGGGTGGATCGCCTGAGGTCGGGAGTTCGAGACCAGCCTGACCAACATGGAAAAACCCTGTCTCTACTAAAAATGCAAAATTAGCTGGGCGTGGTGGCTCATGCCTGTAATCCCAGCTACTCAGGAGGCTGAGGCAGGAGAATCACTTGAACCTAGGAGGCAGCGGTTGCAGTGAGCAGAGATCACGCCACTGCACTCCAGCCTGGGCAACAAAAGCGAAACTCCATCTCAAAAATAAATAAATAAATAAATAAATAAATAAAGGATAGTTACCTTATGATAGAAAAGCATAATGCATTTCTATTAAGCATATTTGACTCAACCCTTACATTATTGCCTCTCCAAGAGCAGGATTTTATTTACTTCTTTTTGTGTTTTCCAGGCATAGTGCTCTGCCCATAGTCTGTATCCCTCAAAATAGCCATTAGGTACTTTTGGATGAGACACCCAAACTTTTTCTGGGATCATGTGATAAAACTTGGTTTCCAGGGGTGCCCACATTTCACAGGCATGAGCCTGGGCAGCCTGCTCCTCTGTTGGTCAGGGAGAATTAATCTTTCAAAGACAAACATTTACGCTTCATGGGTGCCTTTCTTCTTTTCCTCTTTCAATCCACAGTGAAGTGAATTGTTTTAAATTTGCAAAGATTATTTTAGAGTGTTTAAGGGAACCTGGGATAACAGCTCTGTACCCACTAGGTAATTATATGCAGATACTTGGTCTCATATTATTCACTGGGCACTGGTTCAGAGCATGAATCACTTTTTCAGACACTCCATCCTTCTGGTGAAAGGCTGGCTTTTCCTGTAATCCAGTCATTGAGGTCATTATCCTTGCTGGTTTACTCTCATTTTCTACCTCCAGTGTTAGATTAAACCATTTATCTTACTACACTCATCATTGGAAAAGGAGGGTTCTTTCCTATTGGGAACTCAGGGTTCTCTCTTATCTTAAAGCCCCAGCCTTTCTTCCATGATGCATTGTTTATGCAGCTGGATTCTCAAAGAATTCCCTGAACTGGGCTTGCCTCTGCCCTGGACTTCTTAACAGTAAGGAGCAGACAGTGCCTGACCAAAGGCCTCATCCTTTTGCATAGCTTGTCGTTACGGCTCTTGCCTTAGGCCATTCTCTGCATGAATATATTTCCCCCATTTTTTTTTTTTTTTTTTGGCTTTAAAAGCCATTGCTGTTTCATAGATTTGCCTCCCAGAATCACCATCCCAGCATTTCCAGACTCCCCTGCCAAGTTTCCTGAGCACCCTCCCTTATTGTTACTTTTTAGATAAGGTGAAGAAACAATAGCATATCAACAGTTCAGCTGTACCTCAGTTCCTCTTGCCTCAGCCAGACACATGATATTCTCAAATTAATTTTAAAAGATTTTTGTTTTTCATACTCATGCTATAATTTGTTCAAGCGAATCATAACATTTTAGAGCCAGTAGGCAATTAAAAGTAAATCTAGTACAACTCCAATTTTTTTGACTGTGGCAACCAAGTTCCACAGTGAAATGTTCTTTTGACTGTGTCGCATTACCTCACTTGTGAACAGAGGAAACTAAGTTTTACCAAATAAACAATTTCCAAAGGGTTATTTCAAACCTGGTGGACAGCCATTTTTCTGTAGAAACCATGCAATAGATTGATATTAACAGAAACATAGTAGCTTTTTCTTATGTGAGTAACATTTCTTTAATGATCAAATATTCTGCATTTTTAAGAGAAACTGTAAACATTGGAATATATGTAGCTGTACCAAAGAGTTGTGAAAACGTACAGAGAGTTCTCTTCCACTCTGTTTCCCCTGTTATTTGCATCTCACTGGGGACATTAGCCTAAACTAAGAATTTACCATTTGTACATTACTACTGACTACATTTCCAGACTTTAGTTGTATTTCACCAGCTTTTCCACTAAAGTCCTTTTCCTGTTCCTGATCCCATCCATGATCCTGTGTTGCATTTAGTCATTGTGTCTCCTTAGTCTGCTCTATTCTGTGACCCTGTCTTAGTCTTCCCTGGTTTTTCATGATCTTGATACTTTTGAAGAGTACTAGCTAGGTATTTTATAGAATGTGCCTTGTGTGTCTGTCTGATGCTTTTGTCATGGTTGGACTGGAGTTAAAATTTTGACTACCACAGTGGTTATGCGCTCTTCTCTCTGCATCATACCAGAGGGCATATAATACCAACAGAGTTCATCACAGGTCTTATTTTTTGATGTACACTTTAATCCTCTTCCCTTTAATAAAGGCAGTTATTTTAATTTTTGATTTTATATTCTTTTGCTTTTTCCTGTTCCTTTCCACCCTTCTCCCCCTTCTCTAGAAAACTCTTCTTAGTATTATTTTTCTAAAAGTCTGCGTATTTATGTATGTGCCATTTCTTTTAGGAGAAGTCAACTTAAATCAACTTAAAGAGAGGTTTATGTCCTTCTCTTACCATCAGGGTGATAAAAGATGGAAGTAGTGGAGAACCCAGGGACCATTTCCTGGAGGATGGAGGGAAGAGAAGACAGCCCCTTCTCTTGGTTGATTAGGTATTTCCCAGTGTTGGGCCATTTGGTCTTGAAATTTCCAGTTCTGAGATTCTCCGATCATTTGTCACTTGCCTATTTAATAATGTACCACGCCTACCTTGGGGCCACTTGTAGCAAACAACAATCAGTCATTTTGAAGTAATAAGTCAGAATGCTTCAGGAATTGGAACTAATATAGAGAATTTCTTTGCTGTGCAATGAACACTAAAGCAGGTAGTAAAAATTAGGGACTTGGGGGAAAATGGGCAAAATCTCTGCTTTAACTCAGTTCCTTTTCTTCAAATAATTCAGGGAAGCCCTTTTGAAGGCTGGACCTAACATTTTGCCTCTGCTCATGGAGGTTGCACACTCACATGCATAAACGAAAGTGTGTTCTTGCTAGGCAGTTGCTTTGACTTTATATGGAGTCGAACATGTCAAGCTTGTCTAACAGAGTGATTCCCCACGCTCAGCCCATGATGAATATTTGCTCCATCAGCTTAACAATTGCTATATTGAATTT